TAAATAATGTAGTCATTTTAGCTTAGAAAATTATGGTAAAAGGGATCAGCCACAATTTTGTATTTTGGTAGGAAAAGAAAGAGAAGCTGACAGGGTATAGCTGGGCATACTGGTACTTACTAAAAATATATGTACACGTTGAGATGCATACTTCTGAGCCATAGCATCCATGCTTCTCATTCTGAAAACATGTATTTTGTGCAACATAAAAGTAGATACCTGTACGTATTTTTGTTTTTTGTTTTCCTAATAATTGGTATACTTACATTTTTCATTTGTGATAACTAGCTCTTACAATGCATGTTTGTTCCATATTAGACATAAATGAAGAAGACTGATTAAATGGTCACCCTTCCTTAACCTTTCCAAGCTGATAGATCTCACAGCAAGAGGCTGTGAAGTTATGTGCTTTAGTGGTAACATAGGAAATGTGTGTAGCCATTACATCTGATTAAGTATTGCCTGCTTGCTCTGTTAAACACACTAAAATGCTGAATACTGTTACATATATAGTTTCCAACTACTTTTTACAAAAATTCGATGAGACCGTTGGTTTATACTCTCGTTCTTTATTTAAAATTGTCCAACAGGCGCAGCCATCATATGATGACATCAAGAGACAAATATCAGCCAGCAATCCTATGGGTTTGTCAGTTGATTTTGATGAGGAAGATTACTAGTTTTGGGGTTGTGATAAAACACACATATAGTATGCCTCATAAATTTTTATCTAGTCTTCACAAATTTTATATCTTACGTTATACTTCACTAAAGATTTTAAAAAAGTTACTTAATATTTGCTTTTAGCCAAGAAGTTTATGCTTGTATTCCTTTTAAATTATGATGTAAGACTGAAAGATCAATGTATACTGCGTACAAAATAACAAAATATCCTTTGTAGGTCTAGAATACAAATTTGTTATATTTGTATATTTCCATATGATTGCACAGCTGAGTCATTAGGTCAATCACTTCTTTAAGATCACACATTCTATTCAATAAACTTATCAAGCAGACACAACACTATTCACAATGTTTGATGTGTTACTCTTAATAATGTAAAAAAAATGGAACTTAATAAACAGCTGGAGTTTAAATAGTAAAGTCAATTTTAACTTTCTGCAATTATGCCCCTCACAAATTACACAACACATGGCCAATCCCGACTACATCTTATCTATGATCACAAACTTTTTCTGAAGGCACCACTTTTGAGGAAAACTAATTTCTCTCACCACAACCTATTTTCTTTACTATCTAGTGACTAGAAATTAAAAGTTAAAACAATTTGTATTTTGGTAACTGTGCATTGTACAACAATTTGTTATCAGTAAAACAAGATCTATTGTGAACCACAAGTTCTGGACAGTGCTTGATCTCATCACAATGAGGTCTTCTTCTTAGCCATATCACACAACCTCTCCACGTTTTCTCTTCAATATAAAATCAAGATGAGGTTCTTTGAAAGATGCATGAGCTGAAGGATCCTCTAGCTCTAAATTTTCCTCCTCAACCTAAGAATAAATTAAAATTAGATACCAAGAAGAAGAAGAAGCAAAAATATGCTTCATGAATTTATCAAACCTGTGGGAAGTGGGATGTAAAATATTGTTCCAGCTCTGTTTTGATTGCTGAGGATGATCTGCTTGACACGGACCCAATATCCTTTAAAGTGTCAAAACCTGGTGGAATTGATAAAGGTCCATTGTGGTCCACATTGATGGAGCTCCTGCAATAAAAAAAATCGAGACCAGGTATTATGGGCAAACAATAAAATAAAATATTCATGAGAATGTTAACAAAATTTTCTAAACTCACGGTGGATTGAACTCAAAACCAGCATAATGTAGAACTTCCTTTCCTCGTTTAATGAGAGCATTTTCAGTCGTAGATGTGAAGTGAAGAGAAGAACCATAGATCAACGCAGCAGTTCGCAGAGTACGACAAATCACTTTTTTCTTCTCTGGATCAAAATTCTGGGTTTAATAAGTTGAGTTAGGTATTTAGTACAGTCAAGCGAGTAAAATGTTATACTTTCCACTTTGTACTCCATACATTACCTGGAATTCATCATACTTGGCCCCTACAATATGTAACCTGATGATTGGAATTTCAATACAGGCTACATCCTAGAAACCAATTCATTATATTAAAATGTGAAAACATCAATTGGAGAAAAAAATAATTTTTCCCAGATATTTACAGGATGATCAGGATGGTCAGTAAAAAATTGATTGGAGCATTTTGAATACAGTAGGCTGTAGTGGTCTGGCTTCTCTTCTGCATACTGCTTTAAAGAAGATTTTACGGCTTTCATTAATTTATCAAAAGTAAGCCACAACTGTGCAGGCTTAGTAAGGTCTAGTATGAAAGCAACAGACACCACTCTTCTTTCCTTCAAAGGTGTCTTAATAAGTTGTGGAATTACTGCAGAGAATGTCGTTCCACCTCCAAGTTCCCAAAAATTGCAAGTGTCTTTCACCTGAAATAGCACGAGCTTTGTGAGTTTTGAAGTATATTTTGAAGTACATTTTGAATCTATGTAGTTAAATTACAGCACTAACCCCATCTCTGTTAAGTTTCCTTCCAAAAGAATACTCTAAAGCTAGAGTGGGTCTTGCTGGGACGTTCCTGTCAAGTAGGTGGTTTAACATAGATGTTTTCCCCTATAATTAAGACAAAAAAAAAAAAAAAAAATGCAAATTAAACGCTGTAGTACCTAAGAAAAATTTAGATGTCTATCTCTCAATATGTATTAATAAATTGTTCAGTTAAATAAAGAAAATAGTGGCGATCGCCAATGACTTACCACTTGCTTACTACCACACAATATCAAAGTACGAGTCAAGGCTTTGACTTTCTCTTCGTTCTGTTTCGCACGGACCACTGCCAAATCTCGAAGTGCCTCAAATTTATCATTCCTTGGTAGATCATATTCTTCAGTCCTGATAATACAATGTTTAGTTAGTATATGTCATGTCGCATTACTTCCTATAACCCTACACCGCATCAAAACTTCGATCAAAAGAAAAGTTTTGAGGCCAGACACGAGGTTTCTGAAGATTATTACTTACATTTAAGTCTTGATGAAGAATTAATGTGGAAAGCAGAACGAAATGCACGGTAAGTGATGAATGGAACGCCGCACCACAGGCAGAAGCAGAAATTGCGCTTTCTGCTGTCCCGCTTAGTTTGTTTTGTTTACCAGCCGCTGTCAGACGACGGCTACAGTGCTGCACTCTGCTGGCCGCATGTTGGCAGTCACAAGAGCGAGGTGCGAGAGGAGCGAGGCTAGAAAGCGCGAGCGCGGGAAGGCGGGAAGGCCCGCCGATGCCGCCGTCGAGATAGGCAACCCATTTGACCCGGAGTGCGACGGGAGTGTTGGAGAGCTCACGATGATCTCAGGCATTGAGAGGCATCTTGATCGCCTTCTAAACCACCCAAAATAGGATGAGGGTCCGAGAATCGGAGAAAACACCCGGAAACGCCTTCGAAATCAACTGGAATAGGGTGAGGGGGGTGGCAGGAGAACGGAGGGCTTTCTCAGGTAACGCTCCGGATTGTTCGACAGTCGCCAAAGTTTCCGCGTTTTTCTTCAAAATTTAAAGCAAAACAGGAAAAATTGAGGGGACTCTATCCGGGATTGACACCGGAAGTCGAAATATCCGGGTAATTCTCCTACCACCCTTCTGGACCGCCGTCCTTACACGTCTTCTCTGTGGGTCGACCCACCGCCCACCCATCGCGTGGTAGCTGGTGGTAGGTGCTATCATTTGGCATCGCCTCTGAAGCGTTCATTAGGACACGATTTAGCCGATCGGATCCATTTCGTTATTATGGTTTTTTAATCGACTATGTAATTTTTACTTGAAAACAGCCCATACACGTTGGGGCGACAGAACGGACTGAATCCATCAAGTTAGGTTTACATTTGTTTAAATTAAAAACATTAAAATAGACCACTGTACGTTGGGCGAAGTGGGAACTGAAAACTCAGGCACGGCCAAAGCGCGACTGTGTGACAGGAAGGAAGGGTAGAGGGGTCGCTCGGGTGTGAGAAAGGTCCGACGGGAAGCAGGGAAGCACCACCGCCGCCACCACGGCGGCGGCGGTTTCGCGCCCGCGCGTCGCCAAGTTCATGGTCACGGCGCTGTCGTGCAGTGAGCACAACAAACACAGCTAGTGGGGGGCGCTGCCCGTCTCACTCACACTCACACCGTCCCGGGCCCCGGGCCCGGGGGCGTCCTCGCGCTGGTGCAGCGCCTGTCTCCTTCCCAAAGTCCCCAAGTGTCCTGTGAGTGCGGCGGGCTCTGCGTTGCGGCTCCGGCGTGCGGTAGTTTGTAAACTTTTAGTGCCCCCCCCCCGATGAAACTCGAAGGCTGCCCGCTCCGACTCCAAGGAGAGGGAGAGGAGCTCTGAGCTGTGCGGGGCAATGTCACACCGCGGTGCCGCGCGGGCTGGCGGGCGCGGGCTGACGGCTGACGTGAGGAGGAGCGCATGGCTTTCCCCGCGCCACACCGCCGCCGCCGCACGGTCCCAACCTCCACGTCGTGGTCGTCGCGATTTTGCGGCGAAGGAGCGGATATCCCACGGGGGCAAATTATCAAACTTTAATATCGGATCGCCTCATCGGAGTTGTTCGTGTCGTGGAACCGAGGGGGTCAGGTGCGGTTTACAGGGGGAAGGGGGG